TAATAAATATCTTTTTATTTTGATTAAATTTTTAAAATTTTTTTATTTTTTATATTTTTTCATTTTTTAATTAAATATTTTTAAAAAATTTTTTAATTTTATTTTTTTGTTTTCTTATTTATGTATTTATTTTTTTATAATATATATAGTATATAATATAGTTAATTATATATACGACAGCTTTATGTACCAGAGTTTTATAGAAGAGTTTTATAGAAATAGTGTACAACTTTTTTCATAGTTCTTTAGTCCCACTTGGTGCCATTTCCTGATATCATATTTTTTTGTAGAAAGTATATATAATAGCTTTTTTAAAAATTTTACTATATACAAGTTTTTTTTGAAAGGTTTTAATATCTATGACAGGTTTTTTTGAAAGGTTTAATATATACAATTTTTTTAAAAGATAAAACGATATGGTTTTGTTTTAGTTGTGACAAGAGCGTGTACTTGGCGCCTTTTTTTACCTTTTTTTAAAAAAGGTAATTTTTTGATAGATATCAGTTCTTTTTTTGTAATATGTATACGACAGCTTTTGATTTAATATATAGGTACGACAATTTTTTGAAAGGTAAAACAATACTGTTTTGTTTTGATTCTGATAAAATTGACTGAAAATTATAAATGTTGAAACTAATTTAGGATCTGTCAAAAAAGCACACGTTTCAGAAATTTTGTATGATTTATCTAAAATAAATAAAATTAAATACCAAAGTTTAATATTTCTGTTCTATGTATCCTAAATTAGTTCCAACAATATTTATAATTTTCAGTCAATTTTATTTTGTGTATTGCAAGATTTCTTGTCGAGTTTGTTTATAATTTTTGTTTTTTATTTTCTATGGACATAAAATTGACTGGAAATCATAAATATTAGAACTAATTTAGGATAACTACAAAAAAAGTATCTTATGCTATATTTTTTTATATATAAAATAAATTTTATATATAAAATATAAAATTGACTGGAAATTATAAATATTGTTGAAACTAATTTAAAATACATAGAACAGAAATATTAAACTTTGAGATATTTAATTTTATTTATTTTGGATAAATCATACACTAAAGTCTCGAATGATGTGCTTTTTTGACAGAATGTATTGTAAAATTAATTTATACAATCATACCAATCATCACTATGTTTTATAAGACCATTGTTTAGAAACTTTAGTGTATGATTTGTCTAAAATAAATAAAATTAAATATCAAAGCTTAATATTTCTGTTCTATGTATCCTAAATTATTTCCAACAATATTTATAATTTCTGATCAATTTTAATTTTGTGTATTACAAGATTTCTTGTCGAGTTTATGTTTATAATTTTTGTTTCCAATTTTCTATGGATAAAATTGACTGGAAATTATAAATATTGGAACTAATTTAGGATAATCACAAAAAGTGACTTATGCTATATTTTTTTTATATATAAAATTGACTAGAAATTATAAATATTGTTGGAACTAATTTAGGATACGTAAAATTGAAATATTAAACTTTGAGATATTTAATTTTATTTATTTTAGACAGATCATACACTAAAGCTTTTTGACAGAATGTATGGTAAAATTAAAACACAATACTTATAACCTATATACACTTATTTTACTTAATACATTTATATTGAATTTGATCACTCGCACTACACTGCACTACACTACTCTGATGAACACGAATAAAAAACTGGTGAACGTTAAGCAGCCTTGAGTGTGCACCAGTGCAATGTAGTGCGAGTGGCCGAATTCAATATTATTCTTTTGACACATCTTCTGTAAGGTTATTTGGTATGCGCGGCTATTTCCTATAGCGCCACCAACACAAACCCAACTACTAACATCACTATAGCCATCTAGTGTAAAAAATGTTGATTGTACATCCTAGAAATTGAGATAATATTTTTGACATTTCGACTTTGGACTTTTATATATTTATTTATAAAGCACGTAGAGCAAAAACAAGCATACTTTTATTATATATTTTGGGTGTGCGCTATTGATTGAGACCATTATCAACTCGATCGGCCCAGGCATTATTGAGTTCCGATAATCTCGGCTTTCTGGGCTCTTCGGGCTCGCGTAAAGATACACGTTCGGTCTTGCGCTGCGCGTGAACTTGGCGCGAGACACTACCGTGTCTCTTGATAAACAAACATATATTGAAACTAATTACTTGAAAACTTTTCAAAAAATTATATCAATTTGAAAAACATATAGTATTTCAAGAAAAATACGTTCAAAGTTTTGAATGCAGATTCACATATAATTTGTCTGCGCATCCCAAATTATAAATGTCTATAGCTGTTATATTTTTCTAAAAAAATCTTAGAACTTATACTTTTAGAATCTTAAACATTAGAAAATTTTTATTAAAAAAGTTGATTTTTAAAAGTTTTATACAGGAATGCTTCCTTAACTATATTTTATTATGTGTTTATCTATAAATTAATTTTAATTGTTTAATTTCTTTATCAGGTTGGCGAAAGGGGACTTAGGCTGAGCGGTGGTGAAAAGCAACGCGTCGCAATCGCGCGTACGATATTAAAAATGCCAGAGATAGTATTGCTAGATGAAGCTACGAGCGCTTTAGATACACAAGCAGAACGTAATATACAATCGGCATTAAATAGAGTCTGCTCTGAACGAACTACTATTATCATAGCACATAGATTATCTACGATAATTCACGCAGACGAAATCCTCGTTTTAAAGGATGGTGAAATCGTTGAAAGAGGCAAACACGAAGAATTAATTTCACATGGTAATGTTTATTACGCGATGTGGCAAGCGCAGCTTCAAAATGATCAAGATAATAACAAGGATGAGGGAGTTCCTCTTGTGCATGAAAATCACGTGACGTCTTAAATAATAATAAAAATGTGCACAACTTTATTTTGCTAATACACGCGTACAAGTGAATAACTCTTTCTTCTGCTACCATAGAACTTATAATATCTAGAGACGTCTTGCAGCTCAAATCGTGGCACCAACCTGAGTGACAGAAAGGGGGATATATCTTCTGTTTCACTGTTTCTATCTTCCATTGAGCAAGCGTGAACAATTGGTACAATTACATTGTACTAAGAACAGCATAATTGTCATATTTTGACCCTAAAATGTGATGTTTGACAAGTAATCTTTTATAAATCGCAATAAACTTATAACGTACACCATACAATTTACATAAAAGTATTATCTTTTTGGTGGACTAACCTGCAGCGATTAAGCACATGTCAACTAATGGCCATATCTACGTCATTCTTGAACATGCGCTTCGAAAATAGAAAATATCACTTTCTCTTTCTATTCTTTCGATTCTGCTTTTATACACGGGAGAGATAAGGCAAAAACGTTTCCAGATATACAGGGTTTCTGAACATTTGCGACAAACTTAAAGGTGCTAGATTTCGTTAAGTTGAACAATTTTTGTTATGTTTATTTATTAATTTTTTTTTTTTAAATTAATTTTTTAAATTTGAAATTACTTGTATAATAACAATAAATACTCACATTCAAGTTCTACGTAAAATTCTTATTAAAATAATCAAAAACTTCAAAGAAAGTTGTTACTTACTTGTCGTATTGAATAATTTCGTTCTGGAACATATATGCCCCAACGGGTCTCAAAGGGTTATGTTCCGTCGAACATTCTTGACGGTTGCGTTTCTTCTTCTTTGCCTTTGATACAAGATCATACTATGATCATCATAGGCGATGTAGGCTCACTGTTTAAAAGTCTCTAGTCACATCATCTATTAATCATAAATTCATTCAATTATGAAGGACTACACGTACAAAGAGTTTGCAGATATGTACATGATATACGGTGAAGCTTGCGGTAATGGATGAGAAGCAAGTCGTCTTTATTAAGAAAGGGTTGCAGCTCATCATTTTGAACATTTGTTGTAATAAAATAAACAAAATAAAATTAAAAAACATAATTATTTTATTCTAATAAAACTTACAGAAATAGCGTTCAACAAGGCTAAAAACTGATACTTAATGCTTTAAGGAGAAAGCGCGTGACAGTAACATGGGTTACTTAACAAAAATTGTTCAATTTAACGAAACCTAGCACCTCTTTAAGATTGTCGCAAATGTCCGGAAACACCCTGTATAAGTTCTATGCTACTATACACACGCGCGCACGCATAATGACATATAACAGTGCTCGGAATTAGTTGCACATCTCGCTGGTGATCGAGCCAGGCGGTAGTGGGGGAACAAGAGGTGTCGCCTCGGGAATCTGCTCGAGATGTGCAACTAATTCCGAGCTCTGACATATAATATACAAATGAGAAACTATACAGGGTGATACTTAAAGACCGCCCACTAAGTACATAGCGTTATTCCTTACCAAAAAATGAGTCGAAAAGTCCTGAATTATTTTTTTCTATAACATTTAATAAAGGAGTAATTATTGATTAAAGTCAGGCCAATCAGCGCTGACCTTTAGCCGGGCGCACGTCAGTGAGCCACGCGCCTGGTAATGTGCGTGAGCGCTCCGCCGCTATAGCAAGCAGCACAGCGGCGCTATGCCTTCGCGCACGCCGCTAACATGCAATGTTTTTACGCATCGTAATAATAGAAATAATTTTTTCTTGCACTAAAAATCATATTCCTTCTGTCTCTTAGAACACCTTACAAAAAATTTCGACAACAGACAGAATTGTCGCCAAGACGTAACCATTCTCAACATAGAGAAGAAGATTTTGACAAATACAAAAAAATAAAGAAGGCTTCTTTTGTTTTTTACAAAAATGATTTTTTAAACAATCCGTTTTTTTAGAAAATTCTTGCGTTAATACTTAAATCTTAAAACGAATCACCTACGAGTGGTTTTGTCCAGTTACTTAGAAGTAATAAGTTTTTTAAGAAGATTTTATTATAACAATTAGATACTTAAACAATTTTATGCTTAAAAGGAAATACGTAAAGCATGTTAAAAAATAGAAAAAGATTTCTTTCTTTACAAAAAAGATTTATTCTCTTTTCATAATATTAAACAGAATTTTCTATTTAATATTTCACAGATTAGAGAAACGTAGGAAAGGAATATTCTTTTCTTTTCACATTGATGTATAATATACATATATAATATACATCATGTGCACATTACTCTGTATTATCGATCCTTCGTGGACATAGCACGGAACAAAACCAAAAATTGTGCACATGGCTACGTAGTTCCAATGTCCACATTTTAGGTCCACAGGTGGCGTATCGCTTTGGCGGATCACGTAAAACCTGGCCGTGGCGTCTCTCAGGCTTCTCTCTGTTTCTAGATAAAATTATTACGATGCGTAAGAATCATGCTAGTGTCGTGCGCGAAAGCATAGCGCCGCTAGAGTCCCTATATATAGAGTCTGGCCACTCGATTAGTTTTGGAAAAACATGGCGGCGGTATATGCATAAACGCATCTTGTGTTTACCATATTTATGGAATAAAACTTTCATTGACTACACCTTATTCGACTACAAATTGATAGTATTAATAAAAGCAGAGTGAAGCCTATAAAAGTAAGTACAATTATTTGGTATATGGTTTCTAAAATAAAATATCTAAGAATAATGATATTATAAAGAAGTAGGATTTGTCATAAAATTTGTAATTCTAACCTCACATTGTTTTTAATAGTTTTATTTACAATGAGTTTTATTTATAATAAGTTTTATTTAAATAATTTTTATTTATTATTGTGATACAAACATTATTGTGATACTGAATATATAAGTAATAAGAATATATACTGTAATGATATGATTTTAAGTATTATTAGTTAATTTTTTTTTATTTTTCAATTAAAAATTTCTAGAAAAGAATAATATTAATTGTTATTAATTTTCTTGTTCTATTTCTTTTCAAATTATTATACTTTCTATAAGAATTCCTATTGGTTCCGCCATGTTTTTCCAAACTTTGTTTCGACCAATAAAAATAAACACAAGCGTGGCCAGACTCTATACATATATAGGGACTCTAAGCGCCGCCGTGCCGCCCGCCGTAGCGGCGGAGCACAGACGCACATTACCAGGCGCGCGGCTCACTGACGTGCGCCCGGTTAAAGGTCGGCGCTGATTGGCCTGACTTTAATCAATATTTATTTCTTTATTAAATGTTAAAGAAAAAAATGATTCAGGACTTTTCGAGACTCATTTTTTGGTAAGGAATAACGCTATGTACTTAGTGAGCGGTCTTTAAGTGTCACCCTGTATATATACACAGGGTATTCCATCATTCTGAGATACCCTATATATAATATTTAATGTTAACAGTCAGTGATTTCTTGTACATTAAATCTCAGAATGAAATTAATACTTATGTGACAAATATAGACATATTGTGCATACTGATGCTGTTAAAGAATATTTTATAGGATTAAAGAACGGGAAAGAAATATATTGTTTGTTTATATATTAGACTAGCCCAAATTTATTTTTATTAAAATCAATCTCGTGTTATTTTTATCATAAAATAATAATTTTTAACGGTGAAAGTTCTGAAGTAAAATAGGAATACAATTTTTATGATTTAATATTGTTAATAATATATTTGTAAGCAATATATAATGTCGCTTGATTATTCTATCCTGTAATTTTTCATTTTGTTATTAGTTCTTGAATCATTTCGTTTGGTAAAATTCCATCTGAGCTCCAACTGGATTCATCGATAAGCATAATAGCTATACTCGATTCGTTCATACCCCATACGAAATAATAAAACGCGATTAATATCCATATCAATATGTAGAACACCTAGATAGTGATTTTCCCATTACTAGTTTTTGCTAGATGTTCAAATGCTTTACATTCTTAATTTCGAATTTTATTTTAAATTTAGTTCTAAAATGATTAACCAACTAGCAAGCTATTTCAAAAAATTCAGGTATTATAATAAACAATTATTATATGCGAATTGTGGGTCCAGAGAACCACAACCAATTTTTATTTAATAAAATAATTTAATCGATATATTATATAATACTATATAAAAACGCTGACGATTCAGTGTATTTCCGGCTCGTACAAGTTACCGGAGAATCGTGCAGCATAAGTTGAAATCTAATTCATACTTAATGCAAGAACGCTGACAAGCTACCAGAAATCCGTCAGCACGTTCGATCAAAAGACTTTCAAAATTGCAATTAATTGCAGTTTCGCGATTATAAAATCGCCGTCGTGAGATCACGGAGGGTCGAAAACTAACTATCAAACGGAACGGATGTATGTCTGTCTTGACAACGAATTAAGAAGATCGCGGATCGTAACCAATCGCTATAAGATACGCGTAACCTGAGGTTCCGAGCTAAAATATGGATTTCTGAAACGGGACTTAGTTTATTTGTAGAAAAGGGAATTTGTAAAATCAAGAAATCACGAAATATATGGAAGTTTGTTTTATTTTTTACGGGTTACTACAATTTCCGGATTTCCGGCCTACTCCAACATCCTCGGCAGATCCCGAATCCGTGCCCTACCACCAAGAGCACAACAATAATCTGGTGGCAGCGGTGGGATCTGCTTCTCCTTTGGGACCAGGAACCCGAAACATCTAGAGCCTGAAACCAAAAAAAACAAGAAAAATAAGTGAGTGAATAATTGTCAGCGGACAAGTTTCAGTACGGAGATTATTGAAACGAGAAGACCCCGACAAACGCAACGGTAAGCAGCCGAAGCCAAGCAGAGTAGCAGCGCAGCAGTGGACTACACAGAGTCAAGCAGTGCCAAGCGGAGTCAGCGAAATAGGAGCCAGCCGCAGGAAGTAGCCGAGCGATCTACCTCAACAGCCTACGATCTACAGCCGGACAGCAAGCCGTAGCTAAGGACGAGGCAACATGCGAGGAATTATACTACTACTACTGTAAGTCCGAACCATTCTATATTGTAAAAAACGCGTGAATGTTTAAAAGCGAAAGCGATACCGGCCCCGTACGAAATAAGTTGTGGCTATTAAGCGACCAAGCGCGACATTCGCACAGTGTTAAATCCGATACGCGTTATCAAAGACGCAACACGCGATATTAGCGATAACATACGCCGTACTCTACAATATATAAACTCGAATAGTGATTCCGACGACGAAATACATTCAAACATAAAAAATAAATGTGATTACACTTTCGGAGAAATGGATTCGAGCTTAATTCCCGCACTTAACGACACGGTAATTGAAGTGAAAACT